TTCCTCATGCACTGTCTCTCTGCCATCTGTCCTCCTCTCTTTTTTATTTTCCAGCCATCCATTTAATTTCTTCCGTTCATGCAGGGCCAGGTCACGGGGGCAGCAGCCTAAGCAGACAAGGCCTCCTCCCGGTGAACCTAATAAAAGTACTCCTCTCAGGAGCATTTGAAATGCCCTCATTAGTGCATTTCCAGCTCTATCCTTAATCACCCTAACCTACTGCACTTCCCTTCTAGTTTAATCTCGCTTTAAACTTCAGATCCTGTCAGACACTCTTTTCAACTCTATAACACTATTCACGTTTGCAGAGGAGGGATAGTGAATATACACAGCAGTAACATTAAGATGTTTCATAGAACATAAAGCTCCTGTCCTTCAACAGCTTCACTGGCTTCCTGTAAAAGATCATGTTAATTTTAAAAGTCTCTCCATAATCTCATACGTCCATAACTCTCTGATCTTTTGAACATCACTACTCCTTTCCTGCTCTGTTACTCTGATTATATCATCTGCTCACACTAACTATCACTCTCAAACCACCACAGGCAAAGTGTTTCAGGATATTTGTGACCTGGAAAATCTTCTCTACCGTCTTTTACATGATCCCTGAATGCAGCATCAGTGTTTCACGTTATGTCTCCTGTGAATAAACTCACACAAAGTGATATTACAGACACTAAAATCTCTCTTTACTGATGTTGCTGAAGCTGCAGAAGTTTTACTTAGTTATTATTCTGAAGCTGTATCATCTAACATTGTAGAATTGGTTTCTTCAGCTTCAGCACAGACTGTTTAAAAAACATCAAGACTATTAAGAAGAACAAGCAGCAGCGAAACAGAACCAGCAAATGTGTAAAGAGCACACAATTTAACTTGGTTCAAACATTAAACAGAGAGCCTTAACGAAAACGTTTCATCATGGGCGTAGAGAGCTGTCACATAGAAAAAGTGGGCAAAGGGAGACATCTAGTGGACAAATTCAGACATGACGACTACAAACTAAACTACAGAGAGATAACAAACAGCTGAAAATACTTCCTTAAACTCACAGAATAATTAAGTTAATCCATTTATATGCATGTTTAAGGTGGATAACAATTAAAATGATGCAGCATTTATGCATTTTATGTCTTGCAACAGTAGCAGTGTTTACATGAAGTCAACAGGTGAACACTCTTCTTCCTCCCTTTATCTCTCCTCACATGCTGCTGTACACCAGCCCTTTTTTGTTATACCTTGTAGATGGTTTTCTATTTAATTAAACTGCTGAAATTAACTAGATTTATTTAATGAGTTATTTAATTTAATTTTCTTTTCTGAAATTATTCTTGGTTGATTTTATTATTTAATTTTTGGGAGAAAAAAATCAACTGGCAGTAATTTACTTATGTTTCAAACAATGAATACGTAGAAGGACACTAGGACCCGGGGACCGTTTGGCTGTGAAAGAACAGGGATTGATTTAAAAACGTGTCAGCAGACCTGTGGAGTTCTTCGTTTCCAATCAAGGCAAACATGTCAGTGGGGGGATAAAATTAGCCCTGAGATGTCTGAAGGTGGCACTGTGAAGAAGCTAAGAAGAAGCTGAGGTCGAGGCTGCTCATGTAATTAACATTCCAAAATAGTTGATTTCAAGAAAAATTAACATAGCGTTATTTTTGCATTGCTTTTTACTCCTTATTTGTTCTCACTCCTCCTTCCATCATCCTTGATCCTGCACCCAGGATTTTCAGTTTTTGCACTCTGAGTTAATTCAGTCAGGGTTGGTTTATTATTATTTCGATTGGTTTGGTCTTTGGTTTACTACTGTAGTTCCCTGTTTCCCTTGTACAGTGTTTAGTTTGTTGTGAAAATTTTGTGTTATTGGTTCCTTTGTCTTTGTTCTTAGCTCAACTATGTACTTGTACTATTGAGCCTCTCAGTTCTAGAGTCTGTTTCCTTTTCATGAGGTTTTTACTTTGATTTCTATGTATTAAAACCCTTCAGGTGTTGATATATGTTAGCTTCAATTAATGTCTGCATTCCTGATATCAGCTTCAGGTTATTCATAAATAAAAATAAAATAAAAATTCAAAAACCATAATATACAAATAGTTATTTTTGAAATTGGGCCCAAAAGCTAATCACAGATTATAAATACAACCCCGAACATCAGATATAAACCAAATGCATATATATTTACCAACATATACTATAATACTAAGATAAACCAGTAAAATGTCCTCAGATTAATATAATATCCTAACATGCAAATAATACTAAGCTAGACAGTATGTAGGTATGAAAACAATGGTCTGAATCTCATGTAGAGTGCTAGTGCAAGCTTTGAAGGACTGTTAACCACATAGGGTTTCAAACACAATTTAATAACAACTGTTTAAAGACTGTTTGAAAACAGAGAAAGATGTTAATATTTTTATAGTGGTTTGAGACTTGTTCTAAATTTTTAGACCTCTATAGGTCCCACTAATACTTTGCATTACTCTCCGCTCAGAAGTTCCTTCAGTGTTTCCCCTTGTTTTCCTGTGTAGTTTATTCACATTTACTGTTTATTTCCGAGTTTCAGTTATGGTAGTTCCTTCTTTTGTGTTGTTTTACTTTCCTTTCTGCCTCATTATTTGGATTAAGGTGATCTGTGATGCGTGTGCCTCAGATATTTCTACTTCCTTTGACTCCATTCTCTCTCTGTGTATTCATAGCCTCAGTTTCCCTCCATTTCCTGTTGTGCTGTACAGCTTGTTCTGCCTGATTGGCTGTCTGTGTTTCCTCTTTGTATTCTGAGTAACCTTTAGTGCTTCCAGTTCTCCTTGTGTTTAGTTTATATATTAGTTTATATATTACTCACATTTATGGACTTTTGATTTTAGTAAATGTATCACCCTAAATAAATGTGTCTTTTGGTTTTGTTTGTTAAACTCTGCACCTGGGTTCTCTCACTCCACACACTGTGACATGCTTACTAGAGAGGTGATTTTGTGTATTCCTTTCCTCCTATTTGTTTTCTATGTTTAGAGCAAAATTTCTAACATCTACCTCTTATCCAGTTCAGTCGTGAGTGGTTGTAGTAGGGGGTGAGGAGGAGCCTGGAGTCTATCCCAGAAGACCCAAAGCAAAAATTAATTAATCTGATCCAGATTGCTTGCAAAAGTTGGGACTTGAGTCCTTGTATTTTGTTATTCTTTGTTTATGTTAAGTTCATCTATTTTGCTTAAGCTCCTAAGTTGCTCAGCCTTTAGTTCTCTGTTCATTAGATCCACTCATGTCTTCTCCCGCTGTGTTTTAGTCTTCCTTGCCCTTCATGTGTTTCAAGTCTGCATGTCTTATGTTGTCAAGTTTGTGTTGTCATGTCTGTCTCATTATGTTTCCTGTTTTATTTTGAAGAGATCTTGTGTTTCTATGGTTACTGTGTTTAATTTTACTCTTCCCCTGTGGTGTCATTATGATTCATTTGTGTCAGCTGTTTCCTCTGGCGTCTCCACTTCCCCCGATCACCTCATGTTTGTATTTAAGTCCTCTGTCTCCCTTTGTTCATTGTTGCGTTGTCTGTGTTCCAGCCCTCATGTCATGTCAGGTTTCAGGACACTGTGCAGGTCATGTTGCTTGTTTGTGTATGAGTTCATAGTTCCTTCATGTTCCTGCACAAAGTCCTGTTCATAGTCTTCACAGTCTCTTTGTCATTGCCTTCCTAGCTTTCATAGTCTCAGTATTCAGCTTGCCCAGTTTAGCTTTGCCTCTGTGCTTTGCCCTTGTTTTGTTGACCTGATTATAAGCTGTAATAAAAGGCTCGCCTATTGTTCAAGTTAGTTTGGTTTCCTCGCCTGTGTCTGCACCTGGGTCCCCACTCACCAACACATGGTCTGCCACTGTAAACCGTGACAGTAAAAGCATTTTGATCATTTTAATGCTCTTCATCTGGATTTAGAGAGCCTATATACATGCAGGGCCCTCATGCAACAAGAAGCAGATGTTATTATTATTATTGTGGCCATAGTTCAGCTGTGGCTTTAAGGTCTGCTGTTGAAAACTGAAAAATACAACTAGCATTTACATGTGCATGCCACTTTGACAGTTGATTCTTTTCATGAGTGGTCAGACACTGTGTTGCTGTGAACTATGAGATGATATTATCTGTTTTCCTTTCATAAAGGTGGATTCACTGTATCCTCTGCTAAATGACGTTATAAAGCAATCAGTGAAGCAGCTTTCTTAATACCTAGAGATGAGCTCTTATTACAGCTCCCACACAGATACTTGTCATGTCACTCAGTTAGGAACCTTCCTAAATGAAAGTGACTATTCAGCTACACCCCAGAGTTATGCAGATGGCCAGAAGGTCCACAAAATAGTAAATGAGACTTTGATTTTGACATAACAGACCTACAGGCAATGTAAAGCTTAGGTGACTGAAGGCGGTTGTCTGTTTATACTACAGAAAGAAAGAAATTCAGGCTAGAGTCCAATCAGATTTACTTATATAGTACTGAAAACACAGGAGCATCAGTAGGGTTTCTGTAGATACCAACACACAGAAGGGCCTGAGTCACCACACCCTGAGGGGCAATTAAAAGAGCTAAGGATGGACTGTACTGAATCATCAAAGAAAACATAACAGTGTTGTGCCAGAAGCAGTGGGAGAATGAAGGAGTGCCATTACTTCTCATTATAAATGACCGTTAAGATACAGAAAATCTGTTATGTGTAAAAACAAGCAGGAGGAGGGATGAGGTGAATTTGACCAGGTTCTCGCTGGCATTACAGGTTTCAGAAAGAAACCTCATGCATGCGGAAATGTCAGGGATGACATCACAGTCTATTCTTTAAATCAACACTGAACTGGGATCACTGGAGAAGTGTAAATTCTGTATCCAGGTTTCTGCAAAAGACTATGTAATGACTTCGTTCTGGTTGAAATTGTAAGAATGACCAGAGGAGGGCAGCAGTGCGACTTCGATGCGCGTGATTTACCGGAAGACGAAACAGAACGGAAATGACGTGACTTTTATTACTCAACAATATATTTAGTTCGCTGTGTGAGAGTTTATCTGCTGCTGCTGAGGAAATCCTGCCAGCTTAACAAACGAAATATGAGGAGGAGGTCAGCCGTGAGCCCAGACTGCTGCAGAACAACCGGAAACCCGAGATAAAGTCACACAAAGCAGGTTTGTGAAACTGTGACGGTCTCATTGAACTGACACTCTGATCTGAGCGCAGCTTGTATGCTAACAGACTAAAATCAGGGAGCAGCTAATCACACAAGTGCTTCTGTCTTTTTAAAAGGTAAACGTTTAACACTAAACATCCAGAGAGACACAGCAGAAAGTGACTTTACTAAAACATCGCAGTGAAAACCTTCGTGCTTGCGGACTCCATGCGGTGTGTGTGCAGGCCGGTGTACCGCATTCACGGCCAAACAGTGAAACAGAAGCAGCATTCAGGACCCGTTAACAGAAAACCAGAATGTAAACGCAGGTGTTCCGGGTTAGCTGGTTTTTACCTGAACTAGATTGGTTTAGTTATTCCAGTCCGTGTTTCGGATTACATCCGTGGATTCATCAATTTCTGCTGTGTAAACACAAGCGTCCAGTTGCTAATTATATACAAAATAAAGTGATGTTTTGTTTTATTGAGCAGGAAGCCGCCTGTGTTAAACTGAGCAGGAGACCATCTGAATTAAGGAGTTGGCTAATTAGGCCCAGTCTTTTATCAACCAAGCTTTTGAACAGGATGTATTAAGTAAACTCGAGACTCCGTTGGGCTGCTTAGTGGTATCAGAAAGAGAATGTTAGCTTGTGGTCACAGAAACAGGTTTGAGTCTTGTCAGTTTTCATTATTTGATCTTTTTATTTTAACTTACAAATATTTTATTTTAAAGTTGGTTTCTTCAATGTAGAAGTCTGAGCACTCTTCACTGCACTGCACCGCATACGCTCCTTTACAAAACAACATGGTGCATGCGGTGCAGTGCAGCAGCCAAATGCATGGCACAGCATAGAAGAGCCACATTGACAAGACAAGACTTGGGTGTACATCAGCATCTAAAGGTCAAAGGTCGCTCTTTCGAGGATTCCATTGTTGCCATCCTTGAACAGAGGGGGTGGCTTACGACATCAACCGTCTGCACCTACAATACAGTTTTAAGATCACTTCAGGCACCTCAGGGCCCACTCACATCTTGCATCAGTTGATCTCAAAAGGCCATAATGGGGTGAGGGCAGATCTTACAATGGTTTTAAATGAAAATTCTGCTGATAATGACCTACGCCCTTTTTCACATAATCAATAGTGGGTCAAGTTCCTAAGGGACACCTCCCACTAGAGTTGAAATACCCGGGTTTCTTCACCATTAGGTTTTAGAACTAGAGAAGCTTGTTGGATAAAAGAAATGTAAACAAGTCTGGTCACTGTGAGGTAACGTTTAATGGTGTTAAATGTCACCTCTTTTAATTTGTTGGTCAGTAAGAACTTTCTGGGTAAAATAATTTTTTTTTTTTTTTGTTTCTGATTATTCTGTTGATGCTTTGTTGCTGATTAAAGACACAGTCGTGGGAGAGCCGGGATCAAAGGGTGGTGTGATGTAGTTTCCATCTGTGCTGCAAATACTAAATGTCTCACTGCACAATCTGGACTTGCATCGCAAACATTTGCATATTATTTTGGTATCACATGTTTGGTAAAAGGACAAATTCTGAATATGAAAGCAGGCAACCATCTGAATTAAAGAGTTGGCTAATTAGGCCTAGTCCTTTATCGAAAAGTGTCATTGTTGATTTAAATGTAATTTTTATGGTTGAAAGTTTGTTTGGATGTAAGTAACCAGTGTAATAGTATCTGTTTGTGAAAAAGCAAAAGCTTCTGGGGAATTTTTGATATTCTGAAGTTGTTCCTTAATAGAAACAGTCAGTCTGCCCCAGGGCAGCTGTGGCTACAACTGTAGCTGCCTCCACCAGTGTGTGAATGTGAGAGTGACTGAATAGTGGAATTGTAAAGCGCTATATAAATGCAATCCATTATTATTATTATTAAATTTGCTGGACTGTATTTGCTCAGATCTGTTTTCCTGTCATCACATTAGTAACTTTTTCTTGTGTCACTTTGTTCATCAAGACATCCCACAGCAACATGAAGTCTAAGGACAAAGAAGTTTGTGATGATCAGCAGGTCTGTAACCAGGAGAGGAGCTCCAGTGTGGACCAGGAGAATCCTGATCTTCCACCGATTAAAGAGGAACAGGAGGAACTCTGCATCGCTCAGGCAGGAGAGCAGCTTGTAGTGAAACAGGAGGCCGATGGCATCATTTTCTGGACCGGGGAAGAGCGCCTCAGGCTGCTGGATGTCATCTGGAGTCCTGAAAGAAATTTATTACACAGATCAGGTGTGCAGCTGTGCTGTAGAGATCTCTCACACACACACACACACACACACACACACACACACACACACACACACACACACACACACACACACACACACACACACACACACAGGAACTGTCATGGTGAAACACCACAAACCTGAAGAAAGCACCAACAAACTGTAAAGAGTGCAGATGAAAATTAGCCTGTATAGCTAAATTTGGCATATTCATTAATATGCACTCTCTTTTAAATAAAATGAATATAAACATGATAAGTATATGACCAAAACAAGTGAAAGTGATGCTTCAACAAATCCAAGTAAACAAACTGGGATGTCAGTCATTTGCAAGTATGACTGCTTGCGAAAAGAGCTCACAAAGGCACCAGGAGACAAAAATAAAATGCTACAGAATACTACCTCAGTAAAAACATAAATTTTCAACATCTCCTCTAAATGTCGGCATATTTGTGGAAATGAGCTTGTTCCAGTGGGTTTCTAGGCTCAGCCCAGAAGGACCTCTGTAATTTGAGACGGACTCTGAGTGAACTTACTTTTCTTCAAAGGATCCAGCTGAGGTGGTACAAAAAAAATCAGTTAAAGTGGCAGCTGTAGTATTAGAAAAGACATTGGCAAGAAATTCAAGAGATGCATCCCAGACTGTAAAGGCCTTAGTTGGCATGTTAAAGTTCATGACAGTACAATTAGTAAAAGACTAAAAAAAATTGGGGTTGTTTGGAAGAGTTGCCAGGAGAAAAGCTAATCTCGCCCCCAAAAAGAACATTGCAGCATGGCTTAGGTTTGCAGTGTTCAATCTGAATAAACCACAAGATGTCTAGAGCAATGTCCTTTGGACAGAATAGGGGAAAGAAGTGGAGGGGTTTGCTATAATACACAGCACCATATTTTACAAAAGCCCTCATACCACTTCTTTTGCACAGTAGTGGATGGGTGATGATTTGGGCTTGTTTTCCAGCTACAGGACCATAACAAAGTATTGTACAGGGTGGGCCATTTATGTGGATACACCGTAATAACATGGGAATGGTTGGTGATATTAAAGTCCTGTTTGTGGCACATTAGTATATGTGAGGGGGCAAACTCCTCACGATGGGTGGTGGCCATTTAGAAGTCGGCCATCTTGGATACAACTTTTGTTTTTTCAATAGGAAGAGGGCCATGTGACACATCAAACTTATTGGTAATGTCACAAGAAAAACAATGGCCCACCCTGTAGAGTCAAATTTGAAACGGTCTTTCTAATTAATAAAATTTGGAGGAGAATGAATCATATAACAGGACAATGATCCCAATCACACCACCAAATCTACAACAGAATGGCTGAAAAGAAAACGGTCACAGTGTTGCAATGGCCCAGACCCAATGTTATTAAAATGTTGTGGTAGGACCTTGAGGGAGCGCATACAAGCAAAGCCTGTAAGTCTCAGTGAACTGAAGTACTGCTGTAAAGACGAGTGGGCCAATGATATGAAAGACTGAGGCCTTTATAGAGAATCCTGATTTAGATCTTTAATATGGCATTTTACTTTTCCCATTAACTGTGCTCCTAGTACTGCGATTACTGTTTCGTCTTTGAATTTATCTAGCCAAGACACTCTGGCCCCAGAGTATTTATACACTTGAAAACTAGACTAGATAATGTAGGTATGCTAATGTCGCTATACAGTGTCAAACTAAGTTAAAACATTCAGATTAGCCATAACTACTATGACATTTTCTTTACATGCTTATCAAATTTGAGATGTGAGTCTAAAATTGTCAGCAGACAAAGTGTTTAGTGTCTGAAACCAGCAAAGATCAACTAGTTTTCCTTGTGAAAAGGGGGCAATGAAAGGCTGCTGAGTAATTTTTAATGAACATTTAATTAATTCTGCATTTTATCCTGTTGTAGAAAACTTTATGAAACAAATATTTTGTAAAGCTTCTGTTTTGGAATAATTGTAAAATTTTGAATGTTCTGCAATCTGCAAAAACACACATCTTTAACCTCCAGTCCAGAAAATGCCAAAGAAGCTATAGAGGTGGTCACACGTAAAGATGATCAGTTAATAAAGTTTACTTTTTATTATCTGAGACTGTATCTGCTTAATTTAAGACCTGCTAACAACATTTTATTTTAATTTAATATGTAATTCTGGGTTTTTTTGTACCATGACTGCAACTGCTCCGAATCCAGACATCCAGAACCAAAGATGTGTTTTCATATTTGTCCCTTCAGACCTCCCACAACAACACGACTGTAAGGAAGAAGAGGGTCTGCATGACCATCAGGTGTGTAACCAGGAGAGGTATTCCAGCCTGGGCCAGGAGCACCCAGAGCCGCAACACATTAAAGAGGAACCGGAGGAATTGTGCATCAGTCAGGAGGGAGAGCAGTTTGCACTGAAGCAGGAGAGTGATACCTTTATGGTGACTCAGACTTATGAGCAGTGTAGGCCAGAACCAAAGCGTGAGCAGTTTCTCTCTCATAACTTACCTGAACCACAGAGGCGAGATGTGGAAGAAGGCAGGCATGTGGATTTGGGATCAACTAGAAGAGCAGAGCCGATAAAGAGGAAACCTCGCGGTGAGGGAGCAGATGAGTCTCCCGGCTCAGAGGGCCAGTATACAACAAACACATTCAAAAAGTGTTTAAAATGTGAAACTTGTGGAAAAGTCTTTCATTTTAAATCTGGACTAAATGAACACCAGAGAGTTCACACAGGTGAGAAGCCTTATTGTTGTAGTGTCTGTGGAAACAAATTTAGTTTCTCATCTGCATTCAAAGTTCACATGAGAATTCACACTGGTGAGAAACCGTATTCTTGCAGTACTTGTGGGAAATGTTTTAGAGATTTAAAATCATTCAAAACTCACACTAGAATTCACACAGGTGAAAAGCCATATTCTTGTAGCATCTGTGGAAAAACATTCAGGGACTTATCAGGATTCCGAAAACACACACGAATTCACACAGGTGAGAAGCCATATGTTTGCACCATATGTGAGAGAAGCTTCAGTCAAATGATACACTTGAAAACTCACATGAAAATTCACACAGGTGAGAAGCCATTATCGTCTGGCCCCCGTGGCAAAAGATATAGATACTCATTTGGATTGAAAGCACAGATGAGAATTCACACGGGCGAGAAGTCACATTTTTGTAGCACATGTGGGAAAACATTCAAGCAGAAAACGCAGTTAAAAAGACACATGAGAAATCATACTGGTTGAAAATGTCATCCTTTAGATTTTTAGCACTGTGTTCATAGCACAGCCTGAGACGCCAAATCAGTGCAACACCTGTGAGGAAAAAATGATCTCATATATTCTAATACTGGCTTACTCTTTTAGGAATTGTAGGGAAAGCCTTTTGTTTGTTTGTTTTTAAATCTAGAAATGATATTTTTAGCCTGTAGAGATAATACACAAAAATTAATTGTAGAATTATGTCCTTAAAGTTGATTCACTAAATAGCTTTGTTGTTTTAAAAAGGAAAAAAAGCTTAAACAAATGTTCATTTTTGTTTAGTTTTGTTTTTCATAGTAAAGATTTGATTCTTTGAGGGTTTTTTCCAGTTTTTCTTCTGTATTGTATCATTTTTATTTATTTATTTTTTTAAATGGCTAACCTGTATTTCATTACAAATGGCTTGACGGCAGGAGGTGTGTATAATGTCTCTGGGCTGGTAAATAAATATGTACGCTTATGGAAGTTGTAGTGCAGTATTGACAAGCAACATGATTTGTAACATGGCACCTGATTGTCAAATGAAATTTCGGTCCTTCACATGGTTTGACAAAAACATGACTCTTAAAGTTAATATGAGTTTATTAAAAATCCAGACATTCTAAGCAAAGCATGGTGCGGTTGGTGAATGGACTCGATCATTTACTCCAGCTGAGGATGGAGGGCAACTAAGAAACGTCAGACGGCTTACAACAACATAGGAGTCCATCTGTTATAATGTGTATATCTACGCTTATGCGCAGTAAGTAAATTATGCGTACTTATTGATGCTGTAAACTAAAAAGCTGCCCGGCTAAGCAACAGATCAAGGAAAAGCTCCACTAGCAAGAGACAGACGAGACTTTCAGGTCACTGAATGTGTTGTGGTGTTTATTGTGTTCTTAGCGATGTGCTTAGTATGTTATTTATCTTTAAAGTTTAAAGATTTCATGAAACACTTCTGGTGACGAGACATTTGCGTAGTGTAGCTGCAGGTTTACAGTTAAACTGCATGAAAGTGTAATGGTAAAAGATGTTTAATATGTTTATATGGTTTGTCATTGCTTTTGGTCTTCAAATAAGCACTTTTGTCATATTTAGCCTGATGATTAGCATATGATATGACCAGTTGTCTTATATTAAATAACTTTCCTCTGCAGTGCTTTAAAGTTTCATCCACTGAAATAATCAAGTGGTGATAAAATTAACTTTTTACGACAACGAGGACTTAAATGTTTCTTTCACTAAGATTAACTGTTTGTAAAGGATTTTCGTTTGTATGCAAATTGTCTTTAATATTTTGTTAATTTGGGGGGGGGTTGTGCTTTAGTCTTGGAGTTTTGTTATTGTTTAAAACATTTTTGTTATTTTTATGCTTTTGTTTTATTGTAATCATTGAGTTTCTTTTTCTTCTTTGTGTTCCAGCTAATTTTTTTTAAAATATAGTTCTTTTTTTGTTTTTGTTTTTTCCCCTAGCCTTCCGCTATGGGTTTCTATCACGTTTCAGTGTGTTTCATTTTGAAAGCTGGTTGCTGACCTAATTAAATGTTAGGTTTTTGTTACTCCTGCCTGTTTTTTGAGTCCTGCATTTGGGTTGGTTTTCCTACAAAACATTTTTAATGTTTTAAGGTTGGATATTATATTTTATCAATGGTACTTTGAAGGAGAAACAGGCTCATTCTCAGCTCTGTATTTATATTCTTGATGTTTACTAGAGGCCATGATTCTCTGCTATTTTACACTAGGCCTTAATGCAACGCCTGCATTAATAATCAAATGCGAGCCGTTTCAAGTCCTCTCATTGACATTATACCTGACACACAACACATACACAACCGCACCATATCTAAAATTCATCATTTTGTGGGCTGGCTCCAGTAGATTTGAAATAAAGGTATGCAAGAGGATATGGAAGACTGGGACTACATCCCCCTCACTGGAAAAACAAGGGTTGTCATCATTGGACCTTAATGCTCAGTTACACTGAGATGAGATTCTGCATCAGTGGCAGTCCCATATCTCCACAGGCTGAGACCAAACTCTGCTCCAATATGACAACACTCACCCCCACAGTCCGGGGTTTATCAGAGACTACCCCCAGAATCTGAGAGAAGGGAGGATGAAGTGGCCTGCCTGTAGTCCAGACCTCAATCCCACCGAACACTCATGGGATTGACTTGATGTGTAGTTCGTGGCAGAATGAGTAGCATGGCCACAGTGGCTGACCAGCAACACATGCTGGGTGATGAATGGGATGCCATCCCACAGCACTGTGTGACCAGCATGAGGAGGAGATGCCATGCTCTATATGGTTCTTCCACATGCTACTGAGGCCTCTGTTTGTTAAATCAATGAACTGTTAAATTGTTAGACAACCATCCAGTCAAATCTAATGAACAAGACCAATCAAGAGTCAGTAGCAGAAAAAGCTTTTTGGCATTGGCAGATTGAAAAACTTATTTAAAAGTTGTTTTATGGCAAATGTGTCCTCCATTTCCTGAGATTTGAACGAAACACCAAGTGTATCCTTTGTGGCCCACTATCCCAAGAGTCATTGCTGACCAAGGCGAAAAATGTTAACCTAAAAGTACAGTTACTTTTATCTGTTTGGTAGACCAAATATTTGCATTAAAATGACAAATTAATGATATAAAACTATAATATTTATGATTATAATCAATGAAGAGATATTTACTTTAAAAAACTAAAGAAAAAATAAAACCCTGAACCCTGAACAAGGTCTTTTACTCATTATTTCAGGATCTCCCTCTGATCGAGAAAATTTGAAACTAATCTGCGAGAAACTGCTGAAGCAGTTTTCCTTCTGAAACAAAATTCAGATTTAAGCTTTTTCTGTGAAATTTCAGCTTTCATCACTAAAAGAGCTTCATTACCGAGAAATGAGACATTTATTTTAGTTGTTGATCACTACATTACTTGTAAAATTGGATAACTGTTGGGGTTTTTTTTGTTTGTTTTTCTTTTGGGGGGGGGGGCGGATGCTTGAATGCAGCATCAGTGTTACAGGTTGTGACCCCTGTGAACAAACTGACACAGTGTGATATTACACATATTTAAATCTGTCTTTACTGATGATGTTGAAGCTGCTGAAGGCTCAGTTAAGTTTTGTCTTCCTGCAGGTTAACAAGTGAAATCTGAAAGTGATGCACAAGAGGGCGCCTTCATCCTGCTAACAGGGATGTAGAGGAGGTTAAAGCACCTCAGCTCAGGTTGTGCACTGTTTTACATCATATTACATATTATTAGGCTAATTAAACCCTTTATAATATTGTGTCATAGATCATGGTAAACTGGATCAATAAATCATTACTTTCACAATTATTAGGTAATTCAAACTAAATCACTGACAACTACAAGCCCAGCTTTACTCGTAGAAAAATTCTGAAAACAGCAAATTTGGAAAAACTGATGATGGATCAAATAACCAAACTTAGGGTGAGACTTAAGGGTGAAGCTATTCATTCTGCTGAACAAGAAAAAGCAGAATCAGGGGGGTTTCTGTTTGAATCGGGGAGAATGAGTGCTGTGTGTTAGAAGTCAAAATGGTATTAATGAGATGTATTTGACATATTAAATCCAAAAGCTTATTAAGAATAAACATCAGAACTTCTGAATTCAGATGCATCATCAAAGAAAGCACAACTCATATGTGGCAGAATATGTGGGAGAATGAAATGAAGGGGGCAGTTACTTTTCACTGCAAAACAATGTTAAGATACAGAAAAATGAGCACACACATGCTGAATAAAAATGCACATGTGGAACAGCAGAAACTGTTAAGCATGCTTTTATGGTCTGCTCCAACTATTCTACAGAAAGAAACCTGAAGCTTGAGGAATTGCCACTGGTGGGCATTAAATAATAAATATAATAAATTCTACAGTCAGTTTTCTGCAAAATACCAGACTTTATGAGGTACCTTACGCCAAGCGTGGCGGTGTTACAATAAAAAAGTGATTGTCTGCCAAAAACTGATTTTTGCCAAAACCTGATTGCTCATATTTAAACTGCTATGAATAACTTGTTGGTCTATAATGTGTGAAACATATGTCAAATATATCCCTCATTAATGATATCAAGCCAGCTTGAGCCACAAACAACATTCCTGTAACAAGGTAGAAGCTGCAATCAGTTTTTGGCAGTGACTTTTATATATCCTTTATTTATGCAGTTAAAAAATGTTGACATTAAAATGTCTTTTTAAAGAGTAATCAGGCCAAGAGGACAGGAGAAATTGCAACAAATGTAACAATAGTTCTGTAAGCATTTTTTAAGTGGACAAAAAGAACCGGATTGGTTATAATGTAAGTACAATAAATCAGAGTTATAGAGATACTAAATGGGTAATTTTTAAATTTTATATATATTTCCTTTGTAAACCCTGTTCACCCAAGTCTATTTAACAACATACACAAAGATACACATAAAAAACACACAGGGAAACATTTTTGGCACAACATCGGACCCTTCAAAAGAAGAAGGAAGTGACGTAACGGTTACGCTTACTCAAGGCGGAAGTTACCTTCACATGTTCGTTTAACTGCAAACTTTTGTTCGCTAGTTTACTAGCGAAATATTTACGTTTTGAAGCAAGAACGACAGTTTCCTGGAGAGCCGAACTGTTGGTATAGAAGAAATCTGCTCAGAGATACGACACGAAACCTGTCAGCGCAGACTGGTGGATATCAGCTGGAAAGCTGAAATAAAATTACACACGACAGGTGTGTAAGGCTGTGGTGCTCTCAGGGAAGTAGCACCGAAATCAGAGGTCTGATTTAGGACTGCGGTTAAGTGAGCATTCAGCCGACAATTCTTTCTTGCGCTTCTACCCAGGGTTTTATGGTAGTGCGTCTTTTTTTTCTTTCTTGCTGATTTCGGTGGTTGCGGCCCGTGAAAGGACCAATTTACAGTAAATGTTTTTCCTGTTTGGCTATCAGGTTGTTTTATGATATTGTGCATCTCAAAATGGAGTGAGTGAAAAAGAGAAAGCGGGAGAAGTGTGTGAGAGAGACTGGTTTCAGTTTTAAGGTTTCAGTTATTTCATTTTAAAGGTAATCCAAACTGCTTTCATGCTCATTTTCACTTTACATTACTACATTACTGAGAGTCTTATCGAGAGGGAAAATCAAGCATAAGTAATATTTTTGTGAGAATGAAAGACAATTTTGATGAAAGTGAGCAAAGTCAATCGTATCATTACAACGTTTTAAAAAGTCCTTAAATGCTGACATGAAATTCTCAAAAGATTCCTCTTCTGGGTCCACTAGAGTACACAAAGTTTCACCTGGAGTTGCTCTAATATTCCTGAGTAATACTAAACTCCCTACTAGACCACTCTGGTAGGGAGTATAATTCATGTCTTTGAAATATATTAAGGTTCATTGTTGTTTTTAAATAATTGTCTAAAATAACTGAAGCTTTAATATATATGTATACCCGCTGGATTTCTTTCACATGGCAGCACCAGAGTCCACATTGGTTTGCTCTGCTTCTTGTTTTCAAATCTGAGAGTATTTATGTAGAAATCATGACAAAGAGCTGCCTCTGACTATCTTGGCCACGTCTCCCTTGAAAAAGAGGTTTTTAATCTCAATGGGATCTTCCTGGTTAAATAAATTTAAAAAAATAAAATAAAAGAGATATAAATGGGATAAAGTGAAACAGCTTTTAAAGTAGAGCCTCCAGCAAAACTCAAAGGGCGAAGCTGGCAGCGGCTACCTGAACGTTTTCTATTCTGAACTTTGTTCCTTTGTTTAGTCAAGATTTCCAACAACAACATGAAATGTAAAGACGAGGAGGGTTTGGATGACCAGCAGGCCTATAAGCAAGAGAGGAACTCCAGCGTGGACCAGGAGGACCCGAAGATTAAAGAGGAAGAGGAGGAACCCTGCATCAATCAGGAGGAAGAGCATCTTGTACTGAAGCAAGACGCTGAGGGCATTATTGTCTGGACCGGGGAAGAGCGACGCAAACTACTGGATACCATCTGGAAACCTGAAATGAAGTTACACAGAATAGGTATGTAAAGCTGTAATGATCTTAATAAAGTTTGACTTATGTATTCTAATCAGAGATGAAAGTTGCTTTTATTTTAAAATACACAGGGCCAGCTGCAATATGTAGCATGCAACTTCTTTTTTAACTGTTTAACATTAGACCTATACTGCATGCCACAACATTTAAATGATTAAAACTAAAGAGTGTGTTGCTTGAGAAGACAGACAATGTTTTGAGAGTCTAATTAATGTTACAACCTGAAAATGAGCTTAGAAAGAAGTTAATTGTAGATTGTGTCAAAAGTAAACATAGTGAAAACCATGTACACATATTCACGGCAGCAGAAGATATCAGATTATAATGAATATGTATTTACCTTTTAAGGTTACCTGCCTAGTTTTGCCATTTTCCAAAAAGGTGTTTTCTCAAATTCCTGAAGGTCCTGGTTAACAGCTAATCATTGATTGGTGGGAATTAAAATTCTCCTGTTACATTCTGACTTCTGAAATTGAAGTGATTGTTTTACTAGAGAACGACACTTCACTGTGTTGGAGCCACAGAAACACTGTGTTCTTCCTGCTTTTACAGCTGTGTTAGTGATGCTTCTTCTTCTTCCTGGTGACAGATACTAACGCGTTAGTGAAAAATGCTCCATCCATAAACAGATGATCGGGTACTGATCTTTTTTGTCATCTGCAGAAGGTTTTATTTACGCCCAAAATGTAATTGACTGAAATGCTTGTGGAAAACATAACTATCTTTGCCACACACAAACAGATTCACTCAACGTGTTGTGTTGTGAGTCTGCAGCTGTACATGCAGGCAGGCTGATAAACAAAAAGGAGAAGGAGGTCTGATATCATATAAACTCACTTCAGTTATCACTGAGAGGAACAGGTAACACATCAAGTCAAAGTCAAAGTCAACTTTATTGTCAATTCTGCCACATGTACAGGACATACAGAGAATAGAAACTTCGTTACTCTCAATCCCTAGATAAAATAGAAAATGAACATTTAAATATAAGAGTGATTAAAAATGCAAGTAAAATATTTTAAAGTAAAAAAAATTAAATAATAATATAATGCAATTTTACATATAACAAGAAAGCTATACAATATACAATATAAGGGTAAATGACATTGAGTGCAAACCAGGCAGAGTAGTGCAAATAGGCAAATAGTGCAAATGGAGATTTGGTAATGTACGGTAAGAGAAAGTGTAACACAAAGTCTTATGAGGTAATGGCAGTCCAATGCTCCACAAAGTGACTGGTAACTGGTGCAGGCCAGTGAGTGAGTCAGAGAGTGTGTGTGTGTGTGTGTGTGTGTGTGTGTGTGTGTGTGTGTGTGTGTGTGTGTGTGTGTGTGTTTGTGTGTGTGTGACAGAGTTCAGTGAGACCGTGGAGGGGAGAGGGGGCAGAATCGGGAGGGAGTTAAGCTTCCTGACAGCCTGATGGATGAAGCTGTCCTTCAGCCTGCTGGTCCTGGCCTGGAGACTCCGCAGTCTCCTCCCCGACGGCAGCAGCTTGAAGAAGCTTTGCATTGGGTGCGTGGGATCAGCCGCTATGCAAAGGGCTTTTTTAGTGAGACGGGTGCTGTAAATGTCCTGGAGGGAGGGGAGAGAGACACCAATGATCCTCTCTGCAGCTCTCACTATGCGTTGGAGGGTTCTATGACAGGACGCATTGCAGGCTCCAAACCACACAGTGATGCAGCTCGACAGGATGCTCTCGATGGTGCCTCTGTAGAAAGTGTGCATGATGGGGGCTGGTGCTCCTGCTCTTCTTAGTTTGCGGAGAAAGAAGAGACGCTGCTGTGATTTCTTGGCCAGTGCTGTGGTGTTGTACGTCCAGGAGAGATCCTCTGTGATGTGCACACCCAAGAACTTGGTGCTGCTCACTCTCTCCACAGACGCTCCGTCAATGGTCAGAGGAGCATGTTGGGTGTGCATTCTCCTGAAGTCCACAACAATCTCCTTTGTCTTCTCCACATTCAGAGAGAGATTGTTGTCAGCACACCACGTGGCCAGGCGTCTCACCTCACTTCTGTAGTCGGTCTCATCCCTGTTGCTAATGAGACCCACCACCGTTGTGTCGTCCGCAAACTTGATGAAGAGGTTGGAGCTGTATGATGGAGTGCAGTCATGGGTCAGCAGAGTGAAGAGGAGGGGGCTCAGCACACATCCCTGCGGGGCCCCCGTGTTTAAAATGATGGTGCTGGATGTATTACTGCCGACCCGTACTGTTTGAGGTCTTCCGGTGAGGAAATCCAACAGCCAGTTGCACAGTGAGGTGTTGAGCCCCAGCTGGACCAGTTTTTGAATGAGCTGTTGGGGGATTATAGTGTTGAATGCTGAACTGAAGTCTATGAACAGCATTCGAACATATGAGTCTTTTTTTGTCCAGGTGTGTGAGTGCTGAGTGGAGTGCAGTGGAGATGGCATCATCGGTTGAGCGGTTGGGCCGATACGCAAACTGGAAGGGATCCAGGGAGGGGGGCAGGACAGTCTTGATGTGTTGCATGACTAGTCGTTCGAAGCACTTCATCAGGATGGGAGTACACATTTACGCAGGTCACCCCTCAAAAAAAAGGAGTCAACAGTCACCTGATGTCATAAAAAGTGAGACAACAGAGGAAATAGAATAGAATAATCCTTTAATTATCCCTCAAGGGGAAATTTGGTTGTAACAGCAGAATAATATCTGGTGTGTTGACTTGGCAGGGATGATGAATGAGAAAACTTGAGAAATTAGAAGCACAGTAAGATGCCACCTGATACCTGACTTTTGTGATTTTCTTCACATGCATTTTGCATTTTTATCATTGATGCATGCATCTCTCATCCAGTTAAACGATGCCTCAGCAGCACGGAAATATACAAAATTGCATATTAACTACTGCTTGGTTAAGATAAGTGTGGTTAAATATTTACATTCTGTTTACTAAAACACGAAATTACTAAATTTAAATTAAGTTAATCATATCAGAAGAGTGTTTTTCATTGTGCTTGGAGGTATGGGAAAACGTTTCCCATTGTAGTTTACCACAAGAGAACACAAGCCAGAGCAAAACAACACTGCCCTTACATGCCTTATAACTGTACCAAAACCAGATGTCCACTACTAAATTAATTTGAAAGAAAATGCATATATGCATTATGTGGTGTTATATATGCATGTGTATATATATAACACCACAAATGTCCACATAGTGAGCTGAACTTTGCTAATCAGCAGTCATTTGCATCAAATTGTTTGCCACATTTGTGCACTTTAAGTTTCACTGGACTATGTGAGCAACGTGCTCATAATGTAGTGAACTGCTAATGGTTAAGACTGGATTATATTTTCTCAAATGGGTTTCTTTTTTTCTTTTTTTCTTTTTTTGTCCCTTTGTTTCCTCAGACCTCCCACAACAACATGGTTGTAAGGAAGAGAAGGGTCTGGATGATCAAGAAAGGACCCAGGAGGACCCAGCGCTTCCACAGATTAAAGAGGAACCAGAGGATCTTAGCAGCAGTCTGGAGGTAGATCGGATTGTACAAAAGCAGGATGCTGATGCCTTTATAGTGACTGCTACTTATGAGGAAAGTGAACCAGAACCAAATGTGACCAACTCCTTTCTCATAACTCTCCTGATTCACAGAGACGAGATCAGGAAGAAGGCGAGGATGTGGACTCAGGATCAGCAAGAAATGCAGAGCTGAAGAAAAGGAACCATCACAGTGATGGAAGTCACAGTACCATAGTAGACATCTCTTCAGTGTCAGATAGTTACTGTAAAGCTAACACAAGTAAAAAGTCTGTAAAATGTGGAACTTGTGGAAAAACCTTCCCGTTTAAATCCAGACTGACTACACAGCACACAGAGGAGAAGCCTTATTTATGTAGCACCTGTGGAAAAGGATTCGGTTACAAATCACATTTGAAACGTCACCAAAGAATTCACACAGGCGAGAAGCCTTATACTTGTACAACCTGTGGACAGAGTTTCATTCAGATGCCCCAACTGAAAACTCACATGAGGATCCACACAGGTGAGAAGCCTTATTGTTGTAGTGTCTGTGGAAACAAATTTAGTTTCTCATCTGCATTCAAAGTTCACATGAGAATTCACACTGGTGAGAAACCGTATTCTTGCAGTACTTGTGGGAAACGTTTTAGAGATTTAAAATCGTTCAAAACTCACACTAGAATTCACACAGGTGAAAAGCCATATTCTTGTAGCATCTGTGGAAAAACATTCAGGGACTTATCAGGATTCCGAAAACACACACGAATTCACACAGGTGAGAAGCCATATGTTTGCACCATATGTGAGAGAAGCTTCAGTCAAATGATAAACATGAAAACTCACATGAAAATTCACACAGGTGAGAAGCCATTATCGTCTGGCCCCCGTGGCAAAAGATATAGATACTCATTTGGATTGAAAGCACAGATGAGAATTCACACGGGCGAGAAGTCACATTTTTGTAGCACATGTGGGAAAACATTCAAGCAGAAAACGCAGTTAAAAAGACACATGAGAAATCATACTGGTTGAAAATGTCATCCTTTAGATTTTTAGCACTGTGTTCATAGCACAGCCTGCACCGGTGAGACGCCAAATCAGTGCAACACCTGTGAGGAAAAAATGATCTCATATATTCTAATACTGGCTTACTCTTTTAGGAATTGTAGGGAAAGCCTTTTGTTTGTTTGTTTTTAAATCTAGAAATGATATTTTTAGCCTGTAGAGATAATACACAAAAATTAATTGTAGAATTATGTCCTTAAAGTTGATTCACTAAATAGCTTTGTTGTTTTAAAAAGGAAAAAAAGCTTAAACAAATGTTCATTTTTGTTTAGTTTTGTTTTTCATAGTAAAGATTTGATTCTTTGAGGGTTTTTTCCAGTTTTTCTTCTGTATTGTATCATTTTTATTTATTTTTTTAAATGGCTAACCTGTATTTCATTACAAATGGCTTGACGGCAGGAGGTGTGTATAATGTCTCTGGGCTGGTAAATAAATATGTACGCTTATGGAAGTTGCAGTGCAGTATTGACAAGCAACATGATTTGTAACATGGCAGTTCAAAATGGCCACCATCGTCCCTGTACCCAAATCCTCCACCATCTCCTCATTGAACGACTGGCGACCTGTAGCCCTGACCCCCATCGTAAGCAAATGCTTCGAGAAGCTGGTCAGGGACTTCATCTGCTCTGCACTACCCGACTCATTGGACCCTCTACAGTTCGCATACCGCCACAACAGGTCCAGTGATGATGGCATAGCCCTGACACTACATACTGCCCTGTCACACCTGGAGAAGAGAGACACGTATGTGAGAATGCTGTTTGTAGATTACAGCTCAGCATTCAATACCATCGTTCCCTCGAAGCTGGACAGGAAACTGCAGGATCTAGGACTGAGCAGCTCCCTCTGCAGCTGGATCCTTAGCTTCCTGTCTGACAGACGCCAGGTGGTCAGACTGGCCAGCATCACCTCATCCCCCATCACACTGAACACTGGTGCTCCACAGGGGTGTGTACTGAGCCCTCTCCTGTACTCACTCTACACCTACGACTGCACAGCCACTAACAGCTCCAACATCATTGTGAAGTTTGCGGACGACACTACAGTGGTGGGTCTTATCACCAACGGTGATGAGACGGCTTACAGGGAGGAGGTCAGTGCCCTGACCCACTGGTGTCAAGACAACCATCTCACCCTCAACGTCGCAAAGACAAAGGAGTTGATAGTGGACTTCCAGAGGTGCAGAGAAGTACACACCCCCATCACCATCAACGGCGCTGCTGTGGAGAGAGTGAGCAGCTTCCGGTTCCTTGGAGTACATCTGGCTGAGGATCTTACGTGGTCAGTACACATAAACAAAACAGTGAAGAAGGCGCAGCAGCGCCTCTTCTTTCTCAGGAGACTGAAAAGATTCGGCATGAGCCCCCGCATCCTCAGGACCTTCTATCACTGTGCCATTGAGAGCATCCTCACTGGATGCATCACCACCTGGTATGGCAACAGCACCGCCTACAACTGCAAAGCTCTCCAGCGAGTAGTGCGGTGCTCTGAACGGATAATTGGAGGTGAGCTTCCCTCCCTCCAAGACATCTACAAGAAGCGCTGCCTGAGGAAAGCGGGGAGGATCATCAAGGACTCGAGTCCCACGTGTGGGACTAATAAAGGTTATCTTATCTTATCTTATCTTACTATTATATATTGTACATATATTTATTAGTTTCAGGTTGGCCATTCTTGTATTTTGCTCGTTTGTGTTGTTGTGTTTGCACATCTCTGTTGCTTGTGGGGCTCGCACACAAGAATTTCACTCGCATGTGCTGTGCCAGTGTGCCTGCACATGTGATGTGACAATAAAAGTGATTTGATTTGATTGTCAAATGAAATTTCGGTCCTTCACATGGTTTGACAAAACATGACTCTTAAAGTTAATATGAGTTTATCCAGACATTCTAAGCAAAGCATGGTGCGGTTGGTGAATGGACTCGATCATTTACTCCAGCTGAGGATGGAGGGCAACTAAGAAACGTCAGACGGCTTACAACAACATAGGAGTCCATCTGTTATAATGTGTATATCTACGCTTATGCGCAGTAAGTAAATTATGCGTACTTATTGATGCTGTAAACTAAAAAGCTGCCCGGCTAAGCAACAGATCAAGGAAAAGCTCCACTAGCAAGAGACAGACGAGACTTTCAGGTCACTGAATGTGTTGTGGTGTTTATTGTGTTCTTAGCGATGTGCTTAGTATGTTATTTATCTTTAAAGTTTAAAGATTTCATGAAACACTTCTGGTGACGAGACATTTGCGTAGTGTAGCTGCAGGTTTACAGTTAAACTGCATGAAAGTGTAATGGTAAAAGATGTTTAATATGTTTATATGGTTTGTCATTGCTTTTGGTCTTCAAATAAGCACTTTTGTCATATTTAGCCTGATGATTAGCATATGATATGACCAGTTGTCTTATATTAAATAACTTTCCTCTGCAGTGCTTTAAAGTTTCATCCACTGAAATAATCAAGTGGTGATAAAATTAACTTTTTACGACAACGAGGACTTAAATGTTTCTTTCACTGAGATTAACTGTTTGTAAAGGATTTTCGTTTGTATGCAAATTGTCTTTAATATTTTGTTAATTTTGGGGGGGGGGGTTGTGCTTTAGTCTTGGAGTTTTGTTATTGTTTAAAACATTTTTGTTATTTTTATGCTTTTGTTTTATTGTAATCATTGAGTTTCTTTTTCTTCTTTGTGTTCCAGCTAATTTTTTTTAAAATATAGTTCTTTTTTTGTTTTTGTTTTTTCCCCTAGCCTTCCGCTATGGGTTTCTATCACGTTTCAGTGTGTTTCATTTTGAAAGCTGGTTGCTGACCTAATTAAATGTTAGGTTTTTGTTACTCCTGCCTGTTTTTTGAGTCCTGCATTTGGGTTGGTTTTCCTACAAAACATTTTTAATGTTTTAAGGTTGGATATTATATTTTATCAATGGTACTTTGAAGGAGAAACAGGCTCATTCTCAGCTCTGTATTTATATTCTTGATGTTTACTAGAGGCCATGATTCTCTGCTATTTTACACTAGGCCTTAATGCAACGCCTGCATTAATAATCAAATGCGAGCCGTTTCAAGTCCTCTCATTGACATTATACCTGACACACAACACATACACAACCGCACCATATCTAAAATTCATCATTTTGTGGGCTGGCTCCAGTAGATTTGAAATAAAGGTATGCAAGAGGATATGGAAGACTGGGACTACATCCCCCTCACTGGAAAAACAAGGGTTGTCATCATTGGACCTTAATGCTCAGTTACACTGAGATGAGATTCTGCATCAGTGGCAGTCCAATATCTCCACAGGCTGAGAGATTTCTATCCTGTTTCACTAAACATCTGTGTTATGGCAAAACATTTGCAACCAGGTTTCGATTCCTTTGTTGTTCAGTGAGGAGGATACACAGGACTAAAAGCTGGAAAGGGACATGTTTTTTATATATATATATCTATATAGATATATAGATATAGATAGATAGATATATATATATCTCAATATGGACATTGGTAATGCAAAAGTTATTTTCACAAGATTTCAGCATGCACTGAAAGGTTGTGATTTCTTTAAAGTTTAAATAAAGATTTCTTTATGTGTAAAATATGGGAGAAACCTAACAGTGTTGGGCCTTATTTCACACAAGCTTTTCTTTGCCTGACATTGTCTTAGATTAATTCACATACTGATGTTTGTTTTTTGGTTAATTGTGCCTCAGTCTGTGTTACAGTTCCTGTTTAAATGTCCTAGCTCCAGCATTTTATGCAATGAGACACACATATGATGTTTATTTAGTGCAGCAGTAGAAACTGCATAAAAATGTAATAGTAAGTCTCAGGGCTCCCCAGGGCAGCTGTGGCTACAATGTAGCTTGCCATCACCAGTGTGTGAATGTGTGTGTGATGGGGTGGATGACTGAATGTAGTGTAAAGCACTTTGGGGTCCTTAGGGACTAAGTAAAGCGCTTAGTAATTATGAAAACTCTAATGAGATGAATGCACTGAACAACATGTGATGGAAAACTTTTTGTGCTAACGTGGACTTTCTGTCAGAGATTTCCAGTATGTTTTGTTTTAACTCATATTTTGTGGGGGGGCTTTGTAATTTCTCAGTGATACTTTGATGAAAGAGGCTCATTTCAATCCCAATTTACTTAAAGGATAAAAATATGGAAGCACCTCTACCGCCAGCCCAATATTTGCCTTATTTTTGAAACTATATAATTTACTGTAATCTCTCTCTATAATGTGATCACACCAGTGCTGAAGGAACAATAGCAGTCTATGGAGCAAAGCAAAGCATCCACATGTTATCAAGGAAACACCCTTTACTGTAAAATGAGGGAACCAGTTTCATGTATGATTTTTATGTTATTTGGAAGTCTGTGGGCTGGTGCTGTGATGGAGAACTATTTCAGTTGTAGAAGATGTGAGTCTACAAACTCGTCCAACAACAATATCCGTCCTCTGAGGTTTTGTGTCAGAGCTCTGAGACTCTCAGGTCCTCAGTCCTCCAGATGAGCAGGTATTGTGTCCTTCTTCCCTGAAACCATGACTTCCTCCACAGAATCCGGACCACATTCACTCAGCCGCTCTATGCTGGACTTTAGCTTAGAGACATTGCTGAGTTAATTAAACTTCAGTCTTTCATGTTGTAGTTAGTTTAAATCTGAGGCTTAGAAAACAACTGTTTCCTAAGATTGAAAGCAAAAATAAATAAATACATTTTCAAGATAATGGCTCCAAAGCATGAAGTTTTGGTGCCTGTGTCCACGTTACTAGCTGCTCTGTAAGGATTTGTTTCTGATTGGAATTCTCAGCCTGAGCTGAAGGGGGCGCTCCTTAAGCTTTCCGCAGATCCAACACAAGAAGAGGACGAACGGAAACGATGCGTCTGTGTTACGGCTCAGCAATGTCTTCAGTTCAGTATATGAGAGACTTCATCAGGGATAGATTGACTGGCGTTGCTGAAGAAATCTTCTCAGAGGTTAAAAAAACGATCGTCCGGTATGAGGAGGAAATCAACCATCAGCTCAGGCTGCTGGATATCAGCCGGAAACCTGAGATAAAGTTACACATAATCGGTATGTAAAACTGGGATGACTCACGCAGCACCTAAATCACAGCCCAGTTTGTAGAATAAAATGAAGGCGCAGCTCTGAGGGTTTTTTTTTATTTTTTACATAAATAATAGAAGTGCTTCTCTTTGTCTTAAACGATAAGCGGCTAGCGGCAGTATTTAGGCTGGGCCTTGTAATTTAAAGTTAATGTTTTTAATACCACCGCTTCTGTTTATTCCCAGCGGATACACGTGAGTGTGGAGATTATGGAAACAATACCCGATCTGTTATTAATATTTCAACCATCCATTTACTTTAACAACCAAGTATAATAATTACTCTTCTCATTTCATTGATAACTTTCGTGTAAGTGAGAGATGGAGACTGAGGCTGTTAGTTGAGCTGTATCAACACAAAGAGAGCAAACTGTGCTGTAAGTTCATTAAATACAATCGCTTTCAAAGAAACAATAATAGGCAGAGTTTTCATCTCTAACGCCCGTATTTAATATGAAATTGAGATCATATTTGCTGCATCCGCACTTTAATTTGACCAAGAAACTGACAGAGTATTCCTGCTGTAAAACAAACAAACAAATGCGTGAATGCCTAATTAAAATGAATGCACTTATTTCCAGGTGAACTAAAACAATTCTCATGACAAAATGTGCTTCTCCACTGAGACTTCTGGTGTAAAAAATCTCATAAACAACACAATAAATGGTTGCAGGTCCAGTATAACAGAAACTGAGTAAAATATCATGCCTGTGTCACAAGATATGGAATACACAGCAGAATACAGTGTAAAAAAAAAGCAAGTGAGGGATCGGGGAAAGTTCACGGCATCTCTCTGGCTACATTCCTCGACCGTTGTCTAGGAAAGTTTTCTTGGCATCAGGGCAACGTTGGTTTGAGGCAAAAATGACAGTTTTTCAGATGTTCCACAAACTTTTTCCAGATCTTTATCATTCAGGGTCATTTTACATTGCCCTCAGCAGTGGCTCAGCAGTCTCTGCTCCAAGTAGGTTTAGCTGTTTATTACACTTTTACACTACGTTATTACACACTTAACAAGATCACATATTTGTTTCAACAGCTAATCAAACTTTATAATTTAATTTAATTTCTTTTACTTTAGCTGCTTTCTATATTGTAGTTGCAACCAACACATTTGTCCTCGAGAAGCCCTTGGGGCAAAATTATGGTTCGGCAATGGCAGTGCCTTAGCAGTCCGTTGGCAGACTGTGGGCAACTACTCATAGCCCATCTGTCTGCAGAGATCATCTGTGTGTACCACTAGTCTTTGGTCTACTCATGTTTGTGCTGTTATTAGTCTATCTGCCAGGAGAAGATTGAAGATAGACAGCAAGGGCCGACATCAACCGAGTGTTGATGTGTTGTGGTTTTCTTTCCTTTAATATCTAATAATAATATACATTTACATAGAATTTTTTCATTTCTACTTCTTTAGGTTGGTATATTTTGCTTCCAGTAGGCTGTTTAATTCAGGAAATAAATGTGTATGATCTGTCTCGTGAAACACATGCGATCGTGCAAAAGTTTAGCATGGAGCTGCACTGTTTGCATTACAATTGCAATCACCTGTTGATACTAAATGCATGTTCATGTTATTATAATGTATATACAGCATTACAAAACAATGTTTTGATTAAAAATAAATAGATTTAATGAACCCTACTGATCAGACTCATGCCTGTGGACCTCAGTAATATAGTTCACAGGTATGTGACTTCCTTAATGTGCCACTTACCTACTCTGAGTGTCTTCCCCTCCAACAACACAAAAGCAGTTCTGACATAACTGTGGTGTGGGCCTCTGTTTGTGAAGGCACCAGTGCCCAACATAAGTGGGGACTGAAAGTGTGACAACTTTGCTAATAAGACTGTCAGAACTCATTTCACTCATATGTGAGGGAAATGGTTACATATGCTGGGATATAGTTGCTCAGGTGGGTGTTTTGCCATCATCACATTAGTAAATGTTTTCTTGTGTGTTTTTGTTCCTCAAGACCTCCCAGACGAAGATGAATGTAAGGAAGAAGAGGATATGGATAACCAGCAGGTCTGTAACCAGGAGAGTCACTCCAATCTGGACCAGCAGGATTCAGATTCTCAGCAGACTAAAGAGGAAGAGGAGGAAATTTGCACCAGTCTGGAGGGAGAACAGCTTGTACTGAAGCACGAAGGCAAAGGCATCCTCGTCTGGGCCAGGGAAGACCAGGACAGACTAAGTGACACCAACTGGAAACCTGAAATAAACTCACACAGAATAGGTATGTAAAACTGTAAAGGTCTTAGAAAAATAAATATGACTCAATTTGGATGCTAATCAGAGCTCAGAGTTACTTTTAGGAAGAATTTAAGGACTAACTGCAATAAGTAACTTTAATGCATTTTTTTTCCTAAACTGTGAACATTTAACATTAAACCTACAGTTTGTGTCAGTTGAAGGTAAAAGCACCTTATCCAATCTGAATATAGGGATTTGTTTATTTCACTAAAATTATTTTAAATATGTTTATGTTTGCTGTTGAAGGTTACTAAAACAAGTTGAAGTCCAGCTGAAATCTGTTGGTTGAGAAGAAATAGTTTTGAGATTACTATACTACTATAAGCTGAAAATGAGATTCAGTGGATTTTAATTCATCCCCTTTGTGGCAAAGTGCTCAATAAATATAGCAAAACATAAACACAAGTTAATGGCAAAAGAAGCTACAGTGTAACAAGGTGAAGGTTTTTCCTACGTTGAAGAATTTTTGACACCCGTCAAAATAAAACCACAAGAAACAAAATTATACCTGAGTGTAAAAAATCCAAGCATTCAGCAAACGTGTTACTCAAACACCCAGCGGTTAAAGATGCAGAACATGAACTTGAATATGCCCGATTTCGAACAGTAAGCTCACAAGCCTTCGTTATGACAAGGTTAATGTTTCAGCATCTGTGTCCAAGTCCTTACTGTGCCCTCTCAGTATCAGAGAAAATAAAGACCCAACAGATTAACTTTCGTTTCTAATAAGAATGTAATTATAGCAGGAAATCCAACATGTTTATTGCTGTTAGAATCATCTGCAGCTAACGCTTAATCTTACACTTCCTCTGGGAACATTATCAATATTTTGATATTTTGATGAGCCAATTTCACGATAAAATTTTTCTATTTTACATACTTACCTGTTTTTGCTGTCACATGACTATGCAGGCATAAAATAGTGACACAAAAGTCGCACATTTGGAAAAATCAAAAGCAGCCTTTATTTATAAACCATTTTCCAGTCCACTTGTCTTCATGGTAAAAGGGAGTTTTTCTTTGGCGTTTATGCTCAGTGATTGCTGTAGAGCTGCATTAATGATGCTTCTTCATCCTACCATCATGAACAATCCTTCCTTCCTGAATGTAGACAGTGGCATTATTTTAGAGTCAAGCAATGCTTTATCGAGACTCCTACGGATGAAGATTAAAATGTATTTTTTTTTTCAGATGTTTCAGTTTTTTCTTTTTCAATTTGTCCCTTCAGACCTCCAACATCAGCATGTCTCTAAGGAGGAGGAGGAGGATCTCACAGACCAGCAGGTCTGTAAGCAGGATAAGAACTCCAGTCTGGACCTGGATGACTCAGAGCCTCCACAGATTAAAGAGGAAAAGGAGGAACCTTGTACCAGTCAGGAAAGGGAGCAGCTTGGACTGAAGCAGGAGTCTGATAATTTTGTGGTGACCCACGAGGAAAGTGATCACAGTGAACCAGAAGCACACAGTGACCGGAAACTGTCTTGCAACTCTCCTGGACCAGAGAGTCAGTGTAACACTGACACAAGTAAAAAGTCTGTAAAGTGTGACACTTGTGGAAAAGCTTTTCACGATAAATCCAGACTAACTAAATATTTGAAAATTCATACAGGCGAGAAGCCACATTCTTGTAGCACCTGTGGAAAAAGATTCAGTCAAATTATAAACTTGAAAACTCACATGAGAATTCACACGGGCGAGAAGCCATATTCTTGTAACACCTGTGGTAACTCATTCAGTCAGAAATCAACTTTGGCACATCACATCAGAATCCACACAGGTGAGAAGCCACATTCTTGTAGCACGTGTGAGAAAACATTTATCTGGAAATCAGAACTGAAACGTCATATGAGAATTCACACAGGTGAGAAGCCGTATTCTTGTAGCACCTGTGGGAAAACATTCAGTCGAAAATCAACATTAAAAACCCACGTGAGAGTTCACACAGGTGAGAGGCCCTATTCTTGTAACACCTGTGGGAAAGAATTTACGGTTTCATCAACATTGAAAACTCATATAAGAATTCACACAGGGGAAAAGATACACTCTTGTAGCATATGTGGGAAAAGATTCATTCAGATTATCCATTTGAAAAGACATATGAAAATTCATACAGTTTAAAGGTTTTTACTTACTTACAAAATTTGGGAGCTTTAGTTGTAATAATAATGATTATTATTATTATTATTATCTCCACAGTAATAATCTAATAATTGTTAATTATATTTATTCCTTAGTCATTTTCTGAACAGGTTTAAAAGCTGCTAGAAAGTAAGACAAGACCAAAAATATTATATCATTATGGATTCAAGGTCACTTCATGTGTTGTGGTGTTGACTTTCTTGAGGCGCAAACTTCAGCATGTGCCTGTCCTCTTGAACTGTATTTACAACTGTTGTTGTTTTGTTTTTTTTTAACTTAAGTATTTCAATTAATTAATTCATTGAAAATTTTAAGGTGTAATCTCTGAAATATCAGAGCGCTCTGTCTTGTTTCACACTTTTTTTTCCCATATTGTTTTACATAAATTCAGAAAATGCTTTTTTCACTACTTGAACTTGCCTCACTCTGTTTTATAAGCCTACTTTAATCAATGATGCACACATATGATATTTATGTGCTATAACTGCTGGTTTACAGTGGAAATTGCATGTAAATGTGACAGTAAATAACTTTTAATACGTTAGTCTCATCAATGCTTTTGACCCTAAATCAGACATTTTAAAATGGAAGTCTAACAAATACGTACAAAATAGATCAGTGAGGGGACAATTATTTTATTTTACAGCATTGTTGATTTTCACCACTGACCAGTCTGATTTTCCATCAGACTGGTCAGTGGGCAGTGATTTCAGGTTACTTTTACAGCATGTGTTACCATGGTGATATACCTCAATAAGATGTAAACCGCCTTTCTAGTACAAAAAACCCATACTGAGACTAGGTTAACCTAACATGAATATGATAACCCTGCTTTGTAGTACAAAGGGATGTACCATGGATGGAGATTAAAAGGTTAGATTGTGTCAGTGGCTCTCTTTTTTCCCTTGCTAAATCACCAAGGTAACTGATTCTGAACACAAACCCTGCTCAGTAGCAGGTTATGTTCTGAGGTTTGATTTAAAAATCAGCTGGAAGTGCCACACTTTCACTGACTTTTTACGTAGAGTATGTTTTTAGTACAATGTATATTGAAATGTATTATCTGTGGGCTAGATCATCAGATTTACCAAAAGTCTTATCTTTTTTGCAACACTGTTGCATTTTACTGACAAACTGATTTGTACTTTATAGATTTTTACGGCCTTTTATCATTATTATCTGATTGGAGAAGGCTGCACTCATATAGGAATCACTTTCTATGGAAAAAGAGTCATATGATGTATCCCCATTTATGTGAGTGTGTGCAAAGCTAGTTGTGGTCTATTCCCCACTTGAATCTCCTCATACAGTCCTGATCAAAAGTTTAAGACCACTTGAAAAATGGCAAAAAAAATTATATTTTGCATGGTTGGATCTTAACAAGGTTCCAAATAGAGCTTCAACTTGCAACAAGAAGAAATGGGAGTGAGACAAAACATTTTGAGCATGCAATTTATTGAAAACCACATTTAAACTGAAACAGGCTGTTTTACAGTTTATCAAAGGTTTAGGACCACACCTCCAAAAAAATCTGTAACCCCCCCCCCAAAGCAAAAATCAAAGTTCCAAACATAAACTTGGTAATGGGTAGCTCCACCATTATGTTGTTGATACTTCAAATATTTGTTTGATGCAAGCACTTCCATGAGGTGAGTGGGAACATTTTTCCAAGTGATGAAGGCGGCCACATGAAGGACATCTGCTATCTGGAACTGTTGTCCATTTTTGTAAACTTCCCTTGCCATCCATCCCCAAAGGTTCTCAATTGGATTTAAATCAGGGGAATGGGCCAAAAAGAGTGGAAGAAGTCCCTTGTCCTGTGGGCACTGTGTACTGTAGCGCTATCCTGTTGAAAAACCCAGTCGTTACCACGCAGACGAGGGCCCTCAGTCATGCTCTCTGCAACATCTGGACATAGCCAGCGTTTGACGCGCATGCACCTCCTGTGGCACATAGGAAACATCTCAGGTGGGATCTGCCTGTCATGCCAGTAATGTTGGAAACCATCAGGACCATCAAGGTTAAATATTTTTCATCAGACAATAAAACTTTCTATCACCTTTCAATGTCCCATGTTTGGTGCTCTCTTGCAAAGTCCAAACGGACAGTTCTGTGGCATTCAAGGAGACGAGGCCTTTGAAGACTTTTTTTTTGTTTTTGAAGCCCTGCGGTCTCAGATGCTATCTGATGGTTATGGGGCTGCAGTCAGCACCAGTAACGGCCTTAATTTAGGTTGAGGTTCGTCTAGTTTCTTGACAGACAGCCAATTGGATCCTCCAGCTGTGGTTAAACTGAAGGTGATATTAGTCTCATTCTATGTCCTGTATATGTTATATACAAGGTGAAGTGCTGCATGAATTGTAACAATAAAGTTTCTGTTTCTGTGGAACACAGTTTTGGGCTTTCTATATTCTCATAGTTACAACTTCAATGAGAAATAGAGGGCAGCAAAAGACTAGTGTGGGATCCAGTCTGTGTAACTGAAGAAAAGAAGTGTAAAAGTCAGTTTGTGTGCTGAGTTTTATTTTATCGGCAAGTTTTTTTTATTTTTCCTTTGTTTGTTTTTATCACTATCAGTAATTTCTCTGTTCATTTTTGTTATCTGAATTATTGTAGAGAACAGAATTACTAATTTAGCAGATTTACATGATGAACTGAAAAGCATGACATTATATTTCTATGGGTTTTGAACAGAAAATGGGTAAACACATAGGAATCATATAGTGCTTCTCTTCCTGGAATAAAGTCTGATAACCCTCACTCTTCTTCCTACTGTGAGGCAGAGAGAGCTGGAGGTGAGTCAACAAAACATCCAGCAGAGAATCCAGGACAGAGAGAAAGATGTGAAGCTGCTTCAACAGGAGGTGGAGGCCATCAATCAGTCTGCTGATCAAACAGTGGAGCACAGTGAGAAGATCTTCACTGAGCTGATCCATCTCATCCAGAAAAGAAGCTCTGATGTGAAGCAGCAGATCAGATCCCAGCAGGAAACTGAAGTGAGTCGAGTCAAAGAGCTTCAGGAGAAGCTGGAGCAGGAGATCACTGAGCTGAAGAGGAAAGATGCTGAGCTGAAGCAGCTCTCACACACAGAGGATCACATCCAGTTTCTACTAATGGCCTGAGGAGGGCAGCAATACGCCACTGATATGACCAGTTTCCCGGAAATTCAGAAGAACAGCGGAAGATGCCACAACCCTTACTTGCTCGACGTGTTCATGTACCGTTAGCTCGCTTAACAGCGAAATTCTTTAGCTGTTGAAGCAACAGTGCGAGTTTATAAAAGAAAGGCTGACTGATGCTGAAGAATTACAGGTATGGAAAAAAAAAACACTGCCCGGGGCGCGATCTGATATCGTCGTGTTGGTGTTGTTCCCAGATCAACATAGTAAATGTTGTTCCAGGATCAACATTGCAAGTGACCAATCAGAATGTTGTGACGTCATACTTTTGCGACCTCGGGAAAAAGTCGCAAAAGTACCGCCGTAAAACAAAAAAGTGTACTTAAGCTGCGAGAAACCGCCTCTGTCCGCCGATCAACGGACCCTGGGGGTCACTGAACTAACACAGGTGTAGGACCCTGATCGGAGCTCAGTTTGTAGGCTAACAGACTAAAACCTGGCGTAGAAACGCTCCATTTCTTTAAACTGTAAACTTTGAGTTTTAAACATCCAGTGAAACACACACAAGTGACGTTAGCAGGAGATGAAATCACACTTTAAACTCACATAATGAGAAAAAACGGTCCACTCCGTGCAGAAACGGGACTTTACTGGATTATTAAATACTGCAAACTCTCTGAAGGCAGCTGTATTCATCAGTGGACCTGTACCGCCGGTGTTCCAGATCTACTGGCGTTTAGATCAACTGGCGTTGGTCGAACAGATGTGTGGCAGTCTTGCGTTTCAGGAGCTGCTACCGACAAACCAGCAAAAAAAAAAACGCCAAATGTGTCACCTGTGACACGTGAGGTTGTCTCAAACACACTCTGTCAGTCTTGATGCTGTTGAACAACAAAATGTTTAAAAATGTGGCGAGTTTACCTGGTGATATCCTCACGCGCGACGCGATCGCGAAAACGGCAAACAAGTAATACCACGCCGATGTTGTTCACAGGACAGCAAGAGTAAACGATCGGGAGACTCTTGTCGTCGTTATCGTTCCCCTCGCACGGTTTATTTCTCCGGTTTCAGCGTTTTTGCTCCACAACTACAGCGAGCAGTTTACTTTGTGCACTAACATGGACTCGAGTCAACCAGCGCCACCTCTGGCCAAGTGCCACAGCCTACAGCCAGATCAACCTGTGACACACATCTGCACCACGTTTGAATTCGTTTCATGCACATTTGTACCTTTCAACTGTGTCTGTTTGTGCGTCATGCAAATAAACCTTTGAAAAGAATGAAATGACACTAATATTTCACTAGTGTTGTAACATCACATGTCGTTAGCGTAGTCTGTCTGTGTCTTTTCTCTGCAAACAAACATTTTAGAGTTGGTTGTTATATACAGTCTGTATAAGTGTGGTTAATCTAATAAACATTTGTAAGGAGATGGCAGTTACTGTGAATGTACAGCAGGTGATTAGTAATAAACAGTCAGACAATGACTCTGACAATCTCATTCAATCTTGCAGACTGAATGCACCTTCTGTGGAAAGTGGTACCACACAGTGTGTGTGGACGTCCCCTGTGCAGAAGGCGACTACAAATGTTGTGGGTGCTAAATAAACAGAAACAAATGATCCCTGTTGTCTTTGCTTACTGATGTTTTTAGTGTTGACAATCCACATTGCTGGAATTGCATCTGTCAACATGTTTGTGGGTAGATTTGGATGTACCAGGGGTAAGTGCAGCCACTCAGCCTCTACTCAATGTGATCATAGCAGCAGGTGCAGATGTGTCACAAGTTAATCTAATAGTAGGCTGTGGTAGTAGTGGACTGACCTCCATTTGAAACTGCTCCAGCTGCTGTGTGATAGTGGATCTGCTACAAATTGAAGATCATATGGAAGTTTTGGAAATTAACCCTTGTATTATGTTGAAAAACAAAAAAGTGACATTGATTTTGTTGCAGGTAATTTTGACCCGTACTGTGTAAATCCACTCAGAATTGTCAAGAAACTGCAATAAAACAATAGCAACTTTATTTCCCATCAGATAAACATGTAGAACACAGACATACAACAGTTAGACTTTCCATAACTATTTTAGGAACAATTTGGTTTTTCGTTCTTACAAACACATTTCTTCTGAACTTGCCCAACGTTCTCAGTTTTTCAATGCTCAACATTTTCGATTTTGTCCACATGATGGACAGAATGTAACGGTGTGCTTTCTGCAGATGTGGTTCTTGCATTTCTCACAAAAAGTGCTTGTTTTCAAACAGGAATCTTCCTAACTAAGATTTAAAACAAAAGATTTCTACGTCTCCTCCAGTCTCACAAACAGATGACAAACCAAGCGACACACCTGAGTCACTGACTTTCTTAAATCCACTCACTCTCACTGGCTGTTTATTACTAATCACTGTGTAACTGCTGTGAATTCAAAGTTACTGCCGTCTCCTTACAAATCTTCATTGGATTAACCACACTTATACAGACTGTATATAACTCCAGCCATGTTGATGGATTGCCTATATTGGCTGAAAATATTCATTTCCAGAGAAAAGACACAGACAGACGATGCTTACAGGATGTGATGTGACAACAACACTAATGAAATATTGATGTGTCATATTTGTCCAAGGCGTATTTCATTGTTATGGAAAAAGAGAATATCAAAATCATGATGACCAATTGGAGTGGTGATTTCTATGACTTTGTGTATATAATTTGGAATTTTGTACAAATGTAGGTCAATAAGGAATATATGATATCATTTCATTCTTTTCAAAGGTTTATTTGCAGACGCACAAACAGACACAATTGAAAGGTACAAATGTGCATGAAACGAATTCAAACGTGGTGCAGATGTGTGTCACAAGTTGATCTGGCTGTAGGCTGTGGCACTTGGCCAGAGGTGGCGCTGGTTGACTCGACTCCATGTTAGTGCACAAAGTAAACTGCTCGCTTTAGTTGTGAAGCAAAAACGCTGAATTCGGAGAAACAAACAAGAGTCTCCCGATCGTTTACTCTTGCTGTCCTGTGAGCAACATCGGCGTGGTGTTACTTGTTTGCTGTTTTCACAATCGCGTCGCGCATGAGGATATCACCAGGTAAACTCGCCACATTTTTAAACATTTTGTTGTTCAACAGCATCAAGACTGACGGAGTGTGTTTGAGATAACCTCACAAGTGTCACAGGTGACACATTTGGCGTTTTTTTGCTGGTTTGTCGGTAGCAGCTCCTGAAACGCAAGACTGCCACACATCTGTTCGACCAACGCCAGTTGATCTAAACGCCAGTAGATCTGGAACACCGGTCAGAGGAGGAGACGAGAGATTCAGCAGGTTGTTTACACTGAATAAATGGCTTATATCAGCATGTGCTGACCACTCAGTGCATTTTATCAACAACTTTAATATTTTTTGGGAATGCAGGCATCTGTTTAAAGCAAATGGATTTAATTTTAACAAGTCGGGGGTTAAACTGTTCACGTCCAACTTGTTTTATTCCATACGTCATCCATCTGTGCTTGGTGCCAAGGCTGAGATAAACGAGGAGTTATCTCATAAAGAGGAACAAACAGTACTCCAAGAACAGACAAAGCCCAGCAGAAACCTTGAGGAGGAGCTCCATCTGCCCCCACCCGGGAAGAGCCTCAGAAAGGAGAGACATCTGAGGCAAGAAGAGGGGTCCCTATTTGCCTCCAACTCTCAAAACTTCCATATGATCTTCAATTTGTAGCAGATCCACTATCACACAGCAGCTGGAGCAGTTTCAAATGGAGGTCAGTCCACTACTACCACAGCCTACTACTAGATTAACTTGTGACACATCTGCACCTGCTGCTATGATCACATTGAGTAGAGGCTGAGTGGCTGCACTTACCCCTGGTACATCCAAATCTACCCACAAACATGTTGACAGATGCAATTCCAGCAATGTGGATTGTCAACACTAAAAACATCAGTAAGCAAAGACAACAGGGATCATTTGTTTCTGTTTATTTAGCACCCACAACATTTGTAGTCGCCTTCTGCACAGGGGACGTCCACACACACTGTGTGGTACCACTTTCCACAGAAGGTGCATTCAGTCTGCAAGATTGAATGAGATTGTCAGAGTCATTGTCTGACTGTTTATTACTAATCACCTGCTGTACATTCACAGTAACTGCCATCTCCTTACAAATGTTTATTAGATTGACCACACTGTATATAACAACCAACTCTAAAATGTTTGTTTGCAGAGAAAAGACACAGACAGACTACGCTAACGACATGTGATGTTACAACACTAGTGAAATATTAGTGTCATGTCATTCATTTCAAAGGTTTATTTGCATGACGCACAAACAGACACAATTGAAAGGTACAAATGTGCATGTAACGAATTCAAACGTGGTGCAGATGTGTGTCACAGGTTGATCTGGCTGTAGGCTGTGGCACTTGGCCAGAGGTGGCGCTGGTTGATTCCACTCCATGTTAGTGCACAAAGTAAACTGCTCGCTTTAGTTGTGGAGCAAAAACGCTGAAACCGGAGAAATAAAACGTGCGAGGGGAACAACAAGAGTCTCCCGATCGTTTACTCTTGCTGTCCTGTGAACAACATCGGCGTGGTGTTAATTGTTTGCTGTTTCGCGATTGTGTCGCGCGTGAGGATATCACCAGGTAAACTCGCCACATTTTTATAAATTTTGTTGTTCAACAGCATCAAGACTGACGGAGTGTGTTTGAGACAACCTCACGTGTCACAGGTGACACATTTGGCGTTTTTTTTTTTGCTGGTTTGTCGGTAGCAGCTCCTGAAACGCAAGACTGCCACACATCTGTTCGACTAACGCCAGTTGATCTAAACGCCAGTAGATCTGGAACAGCGGCTTTCCAGGACTTGATACCGACAAAGCAGGAAGTAATCAGTGTGAATACGTCTCCTACAAATGGCACTTTGTGGGGTTGGCTAAACACAACAATCTGTCATTCATATTGTTTTGAAAAAGAAACATAAAATAACCTCAGAGTTTAACTGGTGATACTCCCACGCGTAAGCATACCGCGAATACAGCAATAAGCAAATAACAGTGCCTATTCAAAACAGGCGAAAGTTAATTAACAGTATAGAAAATGTTCTAGTCTTCATTATTATTTTCCCACATATTGTTATTACTCTGATGTGACCTGAGGGTTGTCAAACTGACAGACAAAGCGTCCAGTTTACATCAAAAGCAGAGTCCACTCCACTAGTGGCACCTGTGGGGAAGTGCCATTGCCTAAACAATATTAACCTGTGACACACCTACACCTGAATTCCTAGAGCTTCCTGCTTTAGCAGGTATCGCTTATCAATAAGCAAGCTGCTGAAAGTAGTTTTTATTTGAGCAACGTATTCATAGTCTTGCTGAGATATATTTGCTTATGTGTGTTCTCCTATAATCACATTAGATCTTTTTCTTGTGTTCATCTAAGACAACCAACAGCAACATGAACTGTAATGAGGGGAAGGGTCTGGATGTCCAGCAGGTCTGTAACCAGGAAAGTAACTCCACATTGGACCCACAGGACCCAGAGCATCCACAGATTAAAGAGGGAGAGCAGCTTGTAGTGAAGCAGGAGGCTGAGGGCATCATCATCTGGACTGGAGAAGAGCGGCTCAGACTGCTGGATACCATCTGGAAACCTGAAATAACGACATACAGTAAAGGTATGCTAAACTGCCCTTAAAAATAATGAAGTAACATTTCTTTTTCTTAGCATAGCAGGAATCTGCAATAAGTAAAATTAATGCACCGCTGCAGACTGCAGTGTAAATGGTGGCTTGGTGGCTCTTTGACAGTAACTTTGACATGCAGCAGTGGCTTCACTGTTCTTATACACAAAACAAACAATTATCCACACAAACTACATATCAACACACTAACTACACTCCAAACATGCTACACATCACAAATCTCTCACATCTCAAAACTCAATCTCTCTCTTCCTACCACTGACCTTAGACAGTAAATGTGACAATAGTATTCCGGAAAAAATTATGGGGTATATTTTTTATTTATCACTTTTTAAATTTTTTTTTATCACATTTACCACTTTTAACACAAAAATGGACACTCAGGGTTGTTTTGGGTTGAAATAGCATCTTGTTGCTATGTGTCATCTTAAATTGGTCAGGTGATTGGTTTACCATGGCTACTTTATTCTTCCTCAGCCAATCAGCAGCACCCGTGTGATTGTCCCCCCCCCAGCTCCTGGTTAAATGAAAAATAGTAACGTGTCCGCACCACATTTTCTTATTAGTAACTGTAACAGCGTTGTAAACATAGAAATAGTAATTAGTTATAGTACTAGTTACTGACAAAAGTAACAGCGTTAGTAACATTGTTACTTAACGCCATTATTCCCATCATTGCATTTTAAGGATGCAAAAAAATGTTAATTCATGTGAAACAAATTCACCAGAATGCAAGAAGTGAAGTGTCTGCACCCCTACAGAGACACAAATCCAACAGCAGAAGTTTCTTTTTTTTGTCATCAGTTTAAGTTAAAGATTAAGTTTTTTTCTCTGTAGAATGGAAATGTGTGAAATTTAATTTGATCAATTCCCAGGATTAATTAATGGATTAATTTTTAGATTCAGTTTTCATAATATACAATTCAGAATTTCTAAAGTTGAAGTTGATCATATAAGAAGAGTTTTTTTCATGGTGTTTGGACGTGTGCAGTCAAAGTGTTTACCACGATATAAGAGGTCAGAGCCAGCATTCCCAAACTAAATTAAATTGGAAGAAAACCAATATCTTTAAAATTCATACATATTTAGTATCACAAACATCCAAATACTCAACAATTTGCTTCAGTGTCCAAATAATTTGTCACATTTGTACACTCTAAATTTCAGTGGTACATGTGAGCAACCTGTTCATAGTTCACAACCATTAAAGTACTGCTAATCGTTAAAATTAGAATATATTTTTGTCCACTTGTCCCTTCAGATCTTGCGCAACAGTGTGTCTTTAAGCAAGAGGATCTGCATGACCAGCAGGTGTGTAACCAGGAGAGGAACTCCAGTTTGAACCACGAGGACCCAGAACTCCCATGGATTAAAGAGGAACCAGAGGAACTTTGCACCAGTGAGGAAGGAGAACAGCTTTTATTGAAGGAGGAGACTGATACCTTTATGGTGACTTTTGATGAAAGTGAACATGAACCAAACAGAGACCAGCTCCTTTCTCACAACTCTCCTGCACCAGAGAGCCAGCATCAAGGAGGAAATGAGCATGTGGAATCAGAATCTACTAGAAAACCAGAGCTGAAGAACAGTAACAGTGTAAACAACTCTCCAGTGCCAGAGAATCAGTGTAAAACTGGCAAAAGTAAAAAGTCTCTAAATTGTGACACTTGTGGAAAGACTTTTCAGTACGAATGTCACTTGACAAAACATGTAAGAATTCACACAGGTGAGAAGCCTTTTTTTTGTAGCACCTGTGGGAAATGTTTTGGTCAGAAATCAGGACTGGAAACTCACATGAAAATTCACACAGGTGAGAAGCCACATTTTTGCAGTATCTGTGGAAAAGGATTCAGTCAGATGATAAACCTGAAAACTCATATGAGAGTCCACACAGGTGAAAAGCCATATTGTTGTAGCACATGTGGAAAAACCTTTAGTGCCTTGTCAGCCTTCAAAACCCACATTAGAATTCACACAGGTGAGAAGCCATATTGTTGTAAGACTTGTGGGAAACGATTCACTCAGAAATCTGGACTGGAACATCATATGAAAATTCACACAGGTGAGAAGCCACATTCTTGCATTACCTGTGGGAAAAGCTTCAGTCTTATGAAGTCCTTGAAAACTCACATGCGAATTCATACAGGTGAGAAGCCACATTCTTGCATTACCTGTGGAAAAAGTTTCAGTCATATGATGAACTTGAAAACCCACATGAGAATTCATACAGGTGAGAAGCCATATTCTTGTAGCACCTGTGGGAAAAGATTTAGCGATTTATCAGGATTCAAAAAACATAAAATGATTCATACAGGTGAGAAGCCCCACCCTTGTAACACCTGTGGAAAGAGATTCAGTGACATGACGAATTTGAAAGCTCACATTAGAATTCACACAGGTGAGAAGCCATATTGTTGTAACACTTGTGGGAAACGATTCAGTCAGAAATCTGGAGTGAAAATTCATATGAAAATTCACACAGGTGAGAAGCCACATTCTTGCATTACCTGTGGGAAAAGCTTCAGTCATATGACGTCCTTGAAAACTCACATGAGAATTCACATGCCTGAGAAGCCACATTCCTGTGGCAATTGCGGGAAAAGTTTTGTTCAGCTGATACACTTGAAAAGGCACATGAGAATTCATACTAGTTAAGTTTTAAAATGTGGAATGTACTTTATTATAGAAAAACAAGAATGGATAAATAATTTATTGACACTTGTATTCTATAGCCAAGATTACATCACTCTATCCAAAAGCTGGAAAGTGACACAAATAAGTAAAAGTCATTATGGATTTGAACAGTGTTGTCCGTTATTTCCCAATGTTTTCTTTATGTTTGACACTGCTTAGGTGAAATCAGAAAATGTTGTTTTAATTATTTAAATAAACATATCTCTCTTTTTTTTTTTTTTTTTTTTGCAAATGTGGGGTTTTTATTTCTTCCAGAGAGAGATATAGAATGAGAAGGATTTTTTTACTCAGATCTTAGAATGATACCGTCACGGCTGCGGTGGCAGACTTGTGGTGACTGTGAGAGAGGACCCAGACGCTGGCACTGTCTTGGACGTGAGCGAGCTTTATTTACACACTGGTGGCACAAACAGAAACATGGGGAGGAAAACAAAACCTAAAGGTGACCTAATTTGGTAATGACTAACAAAACTAACCTAAACAGACAACTGTGGTAGAAAACGCAGGGAAGAAACACAGATGGACAAGCAACGAACATGAGAGGACACACACTATGGCTGTGTCCCAATTAAGAGACCGCACGCTTGAAGTACACATTTTGAGTACGATTACGTCACCGCCACGGGACGACGGCTGTCCCAATTCGAAGTGTACTTCAAATGCATACTCCAAATGCGCCGTCGATTTTCCCAAATATCAAGCGTGGTCCGGTGCACGCTTCGTGGTCCCATATATCCCACAATTCATAGCGCAGCGGTGGGTGTGGATAATTTTGCCGCAAAATACGGCAGAAGGCAGAAAGGAGCGGCCGAAGACTGAACTGTCAAAAGTAAGTACTGAATATGATGTCTCTTATTTATGTGCGAATGTTTAATAATGAAGAACATTAAAACATTAATGTTGGCCACATGTTGGCAAAGTTATGTGACATTAGTGATGTTTTAAAGCCTCTACTTCAAAATATATATATAGTTGACCTTAATTTTACAGAGAATGTGATGATTTTATGGATAATTAAAGTCAGTCATATATCCACAAACGCAACAAGCTGAAAGTCAGTGAATGCTGTTCGGTTTCCAGTCCTGAATATCACGGCACAAGCAGGATTTACTTCACTGTTAATGTTAGCTATGTTATATTGCTGTCTGTGTTCGGTGGTGTCGAGCCAAACGGACTTTAACGTGTGTTTGAACGAGCTGACGGTTCACTCGTTAAGCTGAAAGAACAGGAGTCACACATGTGTCCACTGTACCATCTGGGAACTCTTCTTGTTTAGCACTTTGTGTTGGATGTAAAAAGCAGGCTAGAATCATGGCGGTGGTCAACGACGGTCCAGGCGTGGGGATTTCTCTCATGGAAATATGCACATTATCTTTCTATTGGTAGGTGGCACAGTGCACTTGTGGCAAGTAAGCAAGCTAGAGGACTGGCAATCATGCTGGCTATCCAGTTACAGAAGCAACACATTAACAAGAGAATTCTGAGTAAAACCAAAGTTACTTTCCCTAGTAACTAGTTACTTTGAAAGTTATATATGATGTTAATGCAGCACTACAAACGATACCTACAGCCACGATTACCAACTATCGGAGTTGCAAAAAGGCACAATGAAGAAGGTGCCTAAGAAGTACAGGAAGCTGTCCATATCTGAGGCCCTGGAAACTGCCATGCAATGACTCACGTCCTTGGCCAGCCGCTTGAAGAGGTACACCAGAGAGATAGAAGGCAGGAGAATAAACCAGCTGTTCTCCACGGAACTAGCCAAGGTGTACAGGGGCAGGGGAACAATATGAGAACAGCACCACCAAGGCTGGAGACAGAACAATACTGGAAGAGCATATGGGAGAAGGACGCAACCCATAACAGCAGTGCTCAGTGGCTAGTGGATCTGAGGGCAGACCACAGCGACCTCCCCGAACAGGGTCCAGTAACCATCACAGTGGCAGATATCCAAGAAAGGGTCTCCAGTATGAAGAGTTGGACAGCACCAGGTCCTGTTATGGTTCGCGCCTTCTGGCTGAAGAAGCTGACTGCACTCCACGAGCGCCTGGCAGCACAAATGAGCCAGCTGCTAGTTGACGAGAGACACTCAGAATGGCTAACCGAAGGCCGGACAGTCCTGATCCTCACTGGGTCACCGACCCAGGATCATAACAGATACTTTTGTTACAAGGAATGTCTTACATAGCTTAGCATAATTTATTGTTGGAAGCAAGCTGAGCCTTAGACATCTGCAGCAGTATTATTAAACCATATAACCACTGAATTCTGCAGAATAACTACATTTTCTTTTGATACCTTAAGAACAGTTCAGCTGTAATAGTTTGGCTCATAAAAAGGTGTTTGGATGTGTGGTATGACTACGTCTGCTAGTAGTGGTTATAAAAAAATCTATTGGCACTTGTAATTGTCAGCCAATGGTGAATAATTTGATAATTATAGAAGTAATAATATCTTCATCCAGGAAGGCGTGCAGAAAGGTGAAGACATATCCAGATGTGGTGGCCCAACTAGTTAAAAAACTTAGACAATATGTGGCAACCAGACAATATCAAATTTGTCAAAATTATTTTTAGTAGTCTTCACAGTATCAATGCCATTTATCATAAATTAAGTTTATATGACTTTTCATGAAAAGGCATTTACCTCTGCATTTCATTCCACTATGAACTGAAAAGAAGTGAATGACTTGACAAGAAGAAATTGTTAATAAATAAACAGCTTTCTTTCAGGTCACATTGAGATTGATGACATTAGTTTTGGAAAAGCACTTCAAAAATGTCATGAAACCTCCACTTTTTTGGTAATTTTTGTGTACAGTGCTTATCGTCTTACCTTGTCATTTACCCTTTAAAAAACTGTTTTAAAAGGTCACTTTTCAACTTAAAATTTAAAACATTTAACAAACAAATACCAACTTAAGAGCTGTACAAAAATACATAATTTTACCACTAGATGGCAGAAGTAGCTTATTACCTAGTGCTTGAATCCTTAAAAATAAAGATAACACATAATTGTTTTTAAACAAGGAGACTTTTTTCATCCATTCATCCAACCATTTTCTTGCATTTATCCAATTTAGGGTCCTATTAAAAAACATTTAGCCAGTTATGTGGATGCATGTGCACAAATAAGGAGCTTTTCTCTCTAAAAAAAACCTCTTAAATGTCAAACAAAAAAAGCTATATTGTGAGCTAGATAAGCTATTGTCTTGTTTTTGGTCAAGCTTTTAAATTGTTTAGACTCCCATACCTGTAACTTTCACTTAAGGTTCACTGAATCTTCAGTAACCTATATACAATGTTATGAAAAAGTATTTGGCTCTTTTATAATTTCTCATTTTTTGCATATTTGTTACACTTGTTTCAGGTCAAATCAAGAATAGTTTTAATTCAGTTGTGATGGAAAGTTTTAGAGCATAAACAACTTGTTTAATGTCATGCCAAAGCATCTCAACCCAATTTAAATCCACTAGGCCAGTACCAGGTGACCCTAAAGCCTTTTTCCTTTAAAAAAAAACCCATTTAGAGGTGGTTGGTTGTGTGTTTCCAATCATTGTCCTGCTGCATAACCCAAGTGTGCATATTGAACATAAAAAATGAGAAACAAAAGCATTGATCCCATCGTAGGATAATGGTGATATCCACTTGTTTGTTGTTCTGTTGGATTTCTTATGTTTTTTTAAACCTTCCAGGTAAAAGTCTAAAGAGCTTGGAAAGAAAAGCGTCTGGACTTCTTTAAGTTGCTTGAAGACGTTTCACCTCTCATCTGAGAAGCTTCTTCAGTTCTAGGGTCAAATGGTGGAGAGTCCCAGCTTTAAGTCCTAGGGGAGTGTCCCCCAAAGGGGGTCATGAACCCCCTGTTAATCCTCTACCTAATCACACGAGTCAAGGTGTTAAAACGGGTGTAGGTCACAATTAGCCAAGGTTTCAGGTGAACCCTAGCCCCACCTTATCATGTGATTTCTTGAGGGCAAAAGGCCCAGGGTGTGAGTGGGCATTAAGGCGTCTGGGAAGGGATCTTAAATCTGGATTATAGATGGCAGACAGTTGGTGTCGTAAACCACCGCCTCTGTTCAAAGATGGTCATTCACAGTGGTCATAGATGGCTTCTTTCACTCCTCTTTCAAACCATCTTTCTTCTCTGTCCAAAATGTGAACAAAAGAATGACCTTTAACCTTTAGATGCAGATGAACAGCCAAGTCTTGCCCCCTGGAGGTGTCTCTTATATATATGTTATGCCATGCTGTTAAGTGGCTGTTTGGTTTCTCCAATGTAGAGGTCTGAGCATTCCTCACTACATTGTACAGCATATACTACGATGCTAAGTTTCTGTTTAGGAGTTCTGTCTTTGGGATGAACCAGTTTTTGTCTGAGTGTGTGGGTGGGTCTGAAGTACACTGGGATGTCGCGCTTGGAGAAGACTCTCCTGAGTTTTTCCGATAAACCGGCAACATAGGGGATGGCAATGTTGTTGCGTTTGTCTTTCTGATCCTCCCTAGCTGGTGTTTGATCTTCTTTTCTGTGCCTCTTTGCTGACTTGACTGTTTTTATCCACAACTTTGATGTGAGCAGTGAAGGCTTCTACTTCTTGGGTTTTGATTTTGACCCCGGTGTCATCTACATATCTGTACCAGTGGCTGGGTACTCTGCCTTTAAAAGAGCCAAGAGCCTTTCTTTCCACTTCTTTCATGTAAAGGTTGGCTACAATAGGTGACACCGGGGAGCCCAAGGCACATCCATGTTTTTGTTTGTAAAAACCCTCGTTGTATTTAAAATATGTGGTGGTAAGGCAGAAGAGTGCAGAAGAGTGGGGGTGAAGCTGGTTTTGTCTTCCTGCTGTCTTCTTGTAGTTGTTTTCTGACAGTCTCCACTGCCTCTGTGGTGGGTATGTAAGTGAAGAGAGAGACTATATCAAAGGACACCATTGTTTCATTGTGCGCAGTGTGAGCGGCTGTGGCGACACCCTCACGACAGTCGTGAGGATTTCAAACAGGTTTGAAATCCTCCCGACCAAGCGCTTGATGATCGGGAGCTGGTCGTGAGGTGTTAATCGCTTCTCGTTACCCCACGTATACTACACGATGCACGACGCACGATGAAGGCCAAACTCGGGCCTATCACCAAAATGGTTGCACGA